ATGTTGTGAAAATTTCTGCGAGATGAGGATCGATATCAGCATATCGATGTTGGGGAGATTAAGTTGCAGCCAGATACAACTTATTTGGAGCCACCGTGTCGTATTGTCGATCGTCGGGATCAGATCCTTCGTAACAAGGTTATCCATTTAGTTCGTGTCCAGTGGAGTCATCACAATGAGGCTGAGTCTACTTGGGAACGGGAGGACGTCATTCGCTCGCAATTTCCTAAAATTTTGGAATAAGGTAAGAGCGAATTCCGAGGACGGAATTCCTTTTGTTAGGGGGAAAGAATGTAATACCCCTAATTTTAAAAGGATAGTCCTGGTATTTATTTAATTATTTAATTGTATTTTTAATTTATTTGATTGGTTATTTGTTTGTGTGTTTGGTTGCGTTAATTGTGTGTTTATTTAATGGTTATTTAAATTGGATTTTGTTTTGCTTTAATTAATTAATTATTTTATTTTAATTGATTAATTGTTTTAAGTTCATGGTTTATTTTAATTGGCTTAAGTTAAATGTTTTATTTGTTAAATTAGGTTATAGTTTGAGTTGTGTAATGGAATTCACGTGTGTAGCCGACACTGTTTTAAAACGTAAGTTTTGTTATGGGCCGACAAGGATTAAGATTAGGGCTCTGTCTCTACACATACGAGGAATAGGGTTTATTTACATCTCTCTATATATATAGAACAATGTGTTGATTTAGGGTTTTAGAATACAAAAGCTCAGTTCACGTTTCAAGGTTACAGAGTGAAAACAGAGAGGGGTTTTATAAGAACAGAGCATTGTAGGGTCTGTCAAGGGAAGAATAGGGAGGACCAAGGAGGTGTGGTGGTGGACTACCTAGAACTAGAGGAGGCTGGACAGTGGTTCGTGTTGCCGGAACAAGCAAGTTCTTTTCTTCCTCCTTCCCTTTACCTATGTTATATGCACCTGGATAGTCTCTAGGGTTTAATTAAGCATTTACTAAATTTCACATGTATAATAGATGCTATGTCGATGATCTATATGTGTTAAAATTTGTTCAATTACAGTTTGTGTATATTTGATCTCAGTGTGTTTCTTAAAGCATATAAAATCTGTAGAACTTGTAGCCTCTGTTTCTAGTTTCAATTGTTATAAACACATCTTAGGGATTATAACGGACATAGTTAGGACTCTTAGGGATAGTTTAAAGCCAAATAGACAGGTTGCGAATGGCTGAAAGCATTGCAGAAAGTCGCAGGAGTAACAAGGTTGAAGAAGGCTCTCGAAGGAGGAGAGAGCCGGCTCTGGAATGCAAAAAGCCGGCTCCCCCCATTATAGAGCCGGCTCTACCCTCCTAGGAGGCGGCTCAAAGTGTTTCTAGAGCCTGCTCCAAAATCTGGAGAAGGTTCTCTCTCACATATAGTTTCTGAACTTTGTTTTTACGAATAATTTTGAAACTATAGGAGTTGGGGACTGTTTGGACTGAGTCTGGGACTTCACATTATGATTAAAAAGTTAATCTTAGGTATTATTAATACCTTTAATTGATTAAAGTTTACTTCTAGTTAATGGGACAAACGGTATAAAATTACTAATTTTCTATACTGTTAACGGATGAAAGATGGATTAATTGCCTAACTAAATTTTAGCAATGTAATGGGATGTAGGAAGTTTATAAAAACCTATTTTAAATGCATGATAGGGTCCTCTATATGTATATTTTGATCATACATGCTTTGGGATGTTAATTGTCAAAATAGTAAACCTTTTCTACAATTACATGGATTACTGTTGAATTTCAATTACTAGAATAATGAAACCATTTATGAAATTATTTGGATACTAGTTGGGACTGTAAATTACTCAGTTATAATTTATATGTTGTAATTTACATGGATATGGAGGATTGTATGCACCGGTATGGGTCGGTGGCATACTGGGGACTGTTTAGCTCAAAACGCTAAGACCTAACCTACCGGATGGAAAGGATGGATTGTAAAATATTGAATCCATCAATGTGTTTACTTTAAATCAACTGACTAAGTTGAATGACTTCCTGAGTTAATTGGTTGTAGTTAAGTCAGATCAGCTGAATAAGTTGAGTGCTTATCTGGACGGTGTTTTGTATGTCTTCTCAATAAATAATTGAATGATATACTATGGTTTTGGACGGATTTTAGATATATGATTATGGTACCACGATATGAGCTTGAGTCTCAGAGTCATTGGTTAGGGTGCATATATGCAATGGATGCGTAGCTGGATATAGTAGGTAGGTGTATCTTATTAGGTCTAAGTACTCATGCCCACCTTTGCGTGCGTTTTCGCATGATGCCTTCTATTCAGGTTGAGACCCCTATTGTAGTCCAGTGAATGTCCTTAGTGTGGATATATATATACTTATGGACTAAATAGATATGTTGAGGGTATCTAGGGTGTATCTGCGTATCGAGTCACTGTATGGATTGTAGTTAGATTAGGACTTGCATGTGGGCTTGACCCACTCTCTTATTTTTCAGGTGCTCGCCAGTTCCAGGGTTAGAGCTTGGTCGTGTTGGTCGTGCAAAGCAGATACAGACTTCCATTCCACCGACTACGTAGGACTCTCTCCGTAACTTGTTGCTGGATGTTTTTTTCAATTGTTTTTATTTCAGTTTGGATTATTATTAGGGGTCCACTAGAAATGGATTCCCAAGTTGTTTAATCTATTGGAGGTTTTGAATTATTGGGATTTTATTAAGTTTTATCAGTTGAGGATTCTATATTAGTATTCATTTCAGCTTTTAATATTTACTTTTATTTCATTTTGTTATCTGTGTTCATTTGAAAATATTAATTATTTGATATTCCCTCGGGTTTGGGCCTGGGCCTGATCAACCCGTGTCTCGGATCCAAGGGGTATCACACAAACATAATCTCAACAACCAATATGATTAGTGTGAGTCGTACGTAGCGGAATGTATTTAGGAAAGTTTTACATTTTGTAAAACAGATCTGTGCCGTTTCCAACTTTACTTATTTTAGCAATTAAACAGTTAATTACAAGCAGATAAAATAAAACAAAGTATAAAGTTAGAGATGACACAAGGATTTTAGCGAGGAAATCCCAATTGATAAAATACGTCAACTGTTATAGGAAAAACCTCGTGGACTGTACAGTCCAAAGTAAACTAATCCACTATGCTTAAAACAAAGTATACCGAATTTTTAACTCTGTCTCATGCCCTATCGTTCTACCCAACATCAACTGCTGACAATCCTCTCGCTTTGCGACTCTCCGTCCAATAGCAACTTAACCTCAGGCTTATGCTTGATATTTATAGAAAAGTAGCAAGTAGATCAGGTTACATTCCACGAATGCTCCAATCCTTTCAAAGTGTGATTGCTTTTACTTTTGTTCTTCAATCGTCTGAATAATATAGAAGAAGATCTGCTTTTATCTGATCAATGTAGATACAACTGTATGATCACGATCAGGATTCGAATTCCACAACTCTAACTTAACTAGGTGAATATGTGTATGTTCTAGGAAGACAACAAAAAAATCAACTTTGATTTTCTGAGAGGGATAAACTTCCTAAGGCTTTATATGATATATGAATATTTAATAAAAGCTATAAATAAACCAATGTATATGACATAGTTTATATAGAGGCTTACAAAGTCCTATTCCTTTTGAAAATAAAGGAAATTTTGTGCATAGGACTTGAAAGGAAAGTTGGATCAAAAAGGTAATCAACAGAACAAGGTAACTAGAAAACCTGTTGCATTCAGGACTTGTGGAACAGGTTCCCAAACTTGGTACCGGCCGTTTCCCAAAGGACAAAGAGTTATTCTCAAAGTTTAGCTTTTGGAACCGGTTCCCAAATCTTGGTACCGGTTCCCACATGACAAAATTCATCCTGAACTTGAAAATTCTGTATATTTGGAACTCTGAAAATATACCATGTATATCATTGTGTCCTAAAAGGAAAACGATGTCTTAATGTATTGTTCTTTCCTTTTCGAATCAATAGTACTTTTCTCTTCTGATCAACCTCTGAATTCCGCAGTCGACGTCAAGTCTGATATGGTAACTGAAATTACAACTCGACTAGGACTTGTTTTGTTACAGAAATTTGCCAATTAAAAAAATATATCTCACAATTAGGACAACACATACCCTATCACAATCACCACCACTTTTATCAATTTAGTGCAAAACACCGTTTTACACTACTCATCTACAGAGCACTCTCTTTCTATGCTCTTACTCTGTACGCTCTCATTATTCGGCAGTGGATGATTTCGCCGACCAACCGCAACCTCCAGCAATTGACTTTGCCGATTATCACCAAGCGACAATCAAATTACCTGATTAAATTAATCACGTTCTTGTTTTGACAATTCAAAAGTTGGAGAAGGTTTTTTTTATATAAAAAAAAAAAAGAAAAAAAAGAAAAGAAAAGAAAAGAAAAAAAATCAACATCAATTAAATCACTGAAGAAATCGACTGCTCGTTGAGAAAGAAGACATTAAAGCGAGCGAGTTTAAGCATGCAGTTGGTTGCTCATTATAGTGGAGTCTAACTGATCATTTTGTGTGTTGCGCCATCTGGAGTTGGTCAATTTTGAGTGGGTTGCAGAGAATGAGAATGGTGAGATATGGAGACGACGATGATGATTTGTGAAGAAAAATTAGGGTTAATGACGGTGGCCATTTTGTTAACAAAAATTAAGGTTAACAACAAACGAAAATTTGGGGTTTAATCTAGAGCTTTTATTCATTTATTTTCCTAACATTTATATAGGTAATTTGTCATTTGAAATTATATCCTATGGAACGTGATAATCTTTTAGGGGTTTACCGTAAAAATAAAAGTTCAAAAAAATGGAATAGTTTAGAAAATTTATTGTAAAAATAAATATTCAGGAAATTTGTTGGTAAAGAAAGTAAAGTTTCGTTTTTGTTTTTTTTTTTAGCACTTTACTTTATATTATATTATTTTTATATAGATTGTAAGTTTCTAGCACAAATAACCATTCCAAACTGAAGCAATAAAAACAGTTAACTTTCATAATTAATCCTTTTAACCAGGATGCAATATCAATACATATATAATATGAACAAGATTTGCAACCTAATGCTGGAGGAGAAACTCCCCGTCATGATATGATTGGACAATAATATTAATATATTATAAAAGGGCACGATGATCTAGTAATATCATGACACATCATTCGCAGCAGTAAGAACGATGTCCCCCTCTCCATACAACTAGGAAAATTATACTATCACACTTTCTTAATGTAAAGGTGTAGCATAGGGATTCACCATGACTTGTGTCTTCTGTTTTGGTGCCACAGACATGAATGCCCTAATAGCAGGCTTAACCTTCTCAGCCATCTTCACCATAATGAAGAAAATCAACCTATAGAGAACCAGCATTCCTAACAAAATGGCAAGGTCAATCCACTTGGAGTAACCTATTTCCACTTGAAATCTCTCTCTCAGAATATATTCACCAGTGATTTTATGTGTCGCTCCGGTTTCACTACTATGAAATTTGAGTCCTTCAAACTCGTTTTTATACAATCCTTGATATGCATACTTGTGGAAGGCAATGTAGTATAAAGGGTATCTCCAGAATGTGTTAGGAAGATCATTTGGTAACCTAAAAAACCCTCCACCCAATATTAGTAGCCCTTGTAACCCTGCACCAGTTATTATGCCCATAAGGAAATTAGGCACTACACTTGCCACAATCATCATTAGGCTCTCTACCAACATCATACAAGCGAAAATCACCAAAGCAAAGTAGGTGAATTGTTCGTATCCTCTTTGAAGTCCGGTGAGGAAATAAGCAATAGATCCGGGAATCAGTGATATAAGTAACAAGTATGGCATAGAAGAAAGTGTGTTGCCGATAGCAAATGCACCTGAACCATAATGCCCATTTAATCTTTCTCTTTCAAATACCTGTAGGTTAGTGTCAAATAGATTTTAGGCATATATTCAACTAGTTTGAAGCATTTCACAAAGCTGAAATTAAAAGTTTTTAGGATTAAAGGATTTTGATGATTTTCACCTTCATATCCTCCACAAATGAAGGGAATCCACCAATGGCCATGAAAGTTAAGAATGAAGCACAAAACATAAGCATTGCACCTCTAGCCTGTAACAATGGAAACCATATACAATGATTAATTCAATGTAAAATTGATGATTAAATTGCATTGTGATCATCTAATGTTTTTACCTGTATTGAACTATAATTTAAGCCAACATTGTAGTAGATGGTGCCAAGACCTGCGGCCACTATGACATAGATACCAAGTCGAAGCCAGTAGTAGCCAATATCACGAAACATGTTCACGAAAGACCTCCTTGTAAGAACCAGGCATTGGGTAAGGAAATTAGCATGACTTCTTTTCATCAAAGCTCCACCTCCCTGAAAATGAATAATGTTTAATTAATTTAGTTAAGTACTTTTCTATTTATTTGTAAAATTGAAAAAATAAGATGTAATATGATTTGTGAATTGTTTGCTGACCTGTTTGCATATTTCAGCTACTTGCCTTCTAACTTCTGGATAACTATTTGATGATTTATATGAGTTTATAAGAGCATTAATTGCTTCCTCAGTCCATATCTTCCCGGCGGAACCTTGTTCAATGTCCTGTGTCAAAATTGTAGGTCATTGAAGCTTAAAACTTATGAAATAAACTATTAAGACTTATTATAGCGTGCTAAAAAAATACAAAATATATAATTACCTTATCGAAATCCTTGTTGATTGTTTTAAGAAAGTGATCGGCTGGATTCACAAGCGTTGGGCAAGGGAAGCCATTCAATGCAAAGAACTACATCACAAAGAATGCAAGAGGGATTAGTTGCATATGCATGCAAATTATACAGCAATGCATTATTGGACGGTCCAGATAATTTCACACACTACTGTATGTGAAATGATTATAAAACGCGTGCTATACTGCAGAGGATTCTGATTCATATAAATAAACGCTTGCAATTACCTCATTTGCTGCGCTAGCAGGGCCAAAGTAGACGGTTTTGCCGGAAGAGAGAAGACACAGATTGTGGAAGAAAGCGAAGACTTCACTGCTCGGCTGATGAATGGAAGTGATGACAGTCCTTCCATCCTGCTGATCGAGCTCTGCAATTCGTTTCATGACATAGTATGACGCGGCGCTGTCAAGCCCGCTCGTTGGTTCATCAAGGAAGAGAAGCTTAGGGTGTGTTAGGATCTCTATGCATATGCTAACTCTCCTCTTTTGCCCACCACTAATACCCTTAGCACCCCATCCTCCAATCCTTGTGTTTACACAGTCTTGCAATCCCATCTCTCTTATGGTCATTTCTGCTCTGTCCCTCTTCTCAGATTTGGACATGGAGTTTGGTAGTTGGAGCTGAGCAGAGTAGTACACTGCTTCTCTAACGGTTAAGGTTGTTATTAAGGTATCATCTTGTGTAACATAAGCCTGTATGGGTAAAAAGCAAATGAAAAATAATTAGTCTAGATATTTAGGGGAGTTATTCATAAACAATTTGTGATCGATTTGTGGAAAGACGGTCTCCAGTGGATCAAAATATTCATAAATATAGACTTGTCTATTAATACGAGTCAAGTTTGTGCTATGTTTTTCAAGCTAGTAACGACAAATGAGCCAAGCCTAAGTTCATTTGCCACACTGTTAAGATTTGTATAACCATATTGATTATTCTTTATGGTCTACAAATCAATCAAGAAAATGTTTAGATCTTAATCTTTTTCCTTACCGAGGTTCCATAAGCCAATGCTTGTTTGCAACCATTAATCAAAATCTGGCCAGCTTGCCTTATGTTCGAGCCTAATCTCCCTGCAATATGAGTTAAAGTCATGGTGTTTTTAGATACCGTAGAACCATCAACATACTGTAACACTTGTCTAAAAATAGCTCATAATTTTATTTTATTAGGTAAATACATTTCACACCCACTAATGTCTATTATGGACTCGAATATCTCACTATTTCTTTGTAGAATGAGAAATTACACTAAGTTGAATTAATGACCTATTGAGAAAAATATCTCATAACTGGTAGATCAAAGTTATATATTTTTAACAAATACACATGTTTACTCATATATTACATCATATGACTGTTTATAAATCAGTAAATCACTGTCTCTTTCGGTCTATATTCGAAGTAACAAAAAAACAAGTCATTTGTAAAGAAAAACTAGAGATAAAATTCGTCAAAACACCAAAAAAGTAATATACTAATCAATCTCTGATGATGAAAGTTTTTTGTTTTCATAGAATGTAAATTTGTGGCTATCATTGGATACGTTGGTGATTTTTCTTTTTTTCCAATTTCGTCATGTTAGCATGAAGCGCTCAATAATTTTATTGAAGCTCGATAGCAAGTCAATTTTTTTTTAAAAAAAAAAAAAACCTTGAAGTGATTATGAAACAAAATGTATGAGTGAGAGAAAAAGTTGGTCCATTTGAATTTAAAATTGATCAACAATACCTGCTTTAACCTAAAGTGCCATGTTTTTAAAACTGTGACACATGTCTATTAGTATAATATTAAAAACTAATAAACAAAAATAGCAAAGCTTATTTAATTTTTGATCGTCATGCTGGTAAATCAACCATAAAAATTTTAAAGTTGAAGCGTTTGAATGAAATAAAAAATTTATATCTTCCATTCCATAGTGTATCCATTTATCCATTGAATGTAAAATCTACGGTTTTTCATTTTGTTCAAACTCTTACTCATGCAAAAATACTAAAAATAGAAGAAAATTGGAATGTATACCAGCTAAGGCATCAAGAAGGGTTGATTTGCCACAGCCAGATGGACCCATGATAGCCAAGACCTCCCCGGGGCGAGCGTAGCCGGTGAGACCTTGAAGGATGGATCTGCTGCCATTTTTTCCGTCGGCAACCGTAACCCACAAGTCCTCCCATGTCAAGAAAACCCCATCATCCTCCATCTTGGTTTCAACTCTAGGGTTTTGCACTAAAACAGTACTACTGCTTTCTACCTCCAGTGGGTTCCTCCTAATTTCTGAGCTAGTTTTCATAGATCTCGAGCTCATGCACTGCAGTTCACTGTTGCTAACATGAGCCTGCATGGTGATATATATTTTTTGTATTTTGGCTGTAGAGAGAGAGAGAGAGGGGTAAATATTTTGGGCATGCTGCTTGTGAAGATTGGCAAGTGCATGTATATATAGACTTTCTGAGTTCAATTTGAAAAGTGAAGTGTCACAAAAATAAAAAATAAGAGTGCAACATGTGAATCAACAGGACGCAGTTAAGAGTAATGTGTATGGACAAGAAATTAACTAAACTGATGGGGATACGAAGCCAATTACATAGTGACACATTGAAGAAGATGACTGGTATATATCATCTTGGTCTAATGGGGCTCAAACGTGATTCACGTTGTTTAGGTACGATATTTAATACGTTCGGTACTAGGCAGATTCAACTCATTTCACATCAGTGTGACCGAGGAAACATTTTTCACACATACATACACACACATAATTAATTTACATATTGCATTTTTACAATATTTGCGGTTTACATGCATGCAAGTGTCATATCAAATCCTCTTCACTATATTTGAAGTGATTAAAATTGTCAATGCAGAGAATCCAAACTCAATCGGTTTAGTGTAGTATGACAATTTCTATAATTATTAAGCACAATACATATTGTTGGGTATGATTGGTCACAATTAAGAAAGTTTAAATTACATAATTGCCAAGGACAAATGTATTAATAGTTACAAACAAGCATTTTGATAACTCAAACTTGAGCTAACAATTAAAGTTAAATTGAATTTCAAACTTAATGAGAAAATTTTGAGTTGACAACTTTAAATTTGATGAATAATTGTTTAAATTCGTTAATTAAAATACTTTTATCTGGGTTCAAATGGAGCTCAATGTCTTGTTCAACAAATTTCAAGCTTGAAAAATAATGATAATAATAATAATAATAATAATCTTGTACGAAGAACTAAAAAATAAATAAATAAAGGGTTCGATATCAATGAATTTCATCAAAATTAAGGATCAGTTATTCGAAAAAAGAAGTATGATGGAATTGCAATATTTATTTGATTTTAAATTTTCTTTGAAAATTCTATAACTTCCATAGTTATAATACAATTAATTATTTTCTTTTTCTTTTTCTTTTTTTTAATTTTATTTTACCACATTAACTATTTCAAAGCCTTCCCTTTGCTAGGCCTTTTGAAATAAATGCGTGCCGCACTTTCACTAAAATGCGTATAGTCTTTTGCTATTCCGTATAAGTTTAATGTTATTTTTGAGCCATCACAAAGTATCACAAATTCTACTATGATGACGACAATAGGAGCCATTAGTTTACACAGTTGAATATTAAAATTTAAAACCTACTTTCACCGAATGCATGCATTAGTTGGTGGAAGTTAAGAATACATGAGTTTCTTGTTTTAAATTTAAACATTTTTTTTTTAAGAAAAATGTTTTGCAAAACATGACTAAGAACATTTAAAAAAAGAGGTATATTGTCAACATTGAATGTAGACTTAGATGAATAAATTTTTCTATATTACTTTTCAAAATTAACAAAGATTTGCATATTTAATTATTAATTTGTCTTTGTTAGTAAATATTCATTCCGTCTTAAATTAAGTGTCGTTTTTTAGAACGGTTGTGAGTCACAGTTCCCAAAAATAATACTTAATTTGAGACGGAGGGAGTAACACTTATTGTCCTTGTCTAGTGGTTAGGATGAATAAATTTTTCTATACTATCTCCGTCTCATATTAGTTGTCCATTTAAAAAATTTTGACTCACTATCACTTTTTATTTTGGTTATTTTTAATCATATTTTTTATATATACTTATATACTATCTATATTTCATATTAGGTGTCTATTTCGATAACCTTGACTTAAAAAAATTATGAATCAAAATTTTTGAAGTAGACAATTAATATGAGACTGAGATAATATTACTTTTCAAAATTAATAAAGATTTTCATATCTATTAATTTGTCTTTGTTAGTAAATAGCACTTATTGTCCTTGTCCAATAATTGGGTCTTACAAGCATGACTGTACATAATAACTGCAATCGTACTATACACAGTATTTGTGATGTGTCCTTCTGTAACAACTTATGGGCCTAAGCTTAAATGCACCATTTTGACTTCATCCAGATGCCCACCCACCAAAAAATAGAAAATAAAAATTAATAATATTCGTGTTTGAATTCTCTTTCTTTAATTTGTTAGAAAAAAATTAGCCTATTTGATCAAATAAGTAAATTAAAAAATAATAATAATAATTACGAACACATTTATTGAGAAAGCTGAACGCTCAACTTACGTTACCAAATAATGCCTACTAACCATTATCATACTGAAAATGTGATGTATAAGAACTTGAGACCTACAGGCACAAGATTCATGACATGATTGTAATACTAGAATAAATTTATATTGAACTTTGCAACCCTTGAAAGGTCGTGGCCCCTACTGAATGTGGACTAAATACCTTTTTTTTGTACATACATGATTTTCTATTTTTTAAATTAAACTCCCTCGACTGCTACCAAGTATGAATAATTTTCCTTATCTCAAACGCTTCATTGACACATTTTGAACATTTGACTAATGTATTTGAAATATTTGATCAACATATTCTACACACTTTACATAGAGAGCAACAAAGTAGTTTGGACTGGTGAATACCTTCTCCATACTATCCTTTTTTAAAATAACTATTCTCATCCTAGTCGAAAACCAATTTATTAAATGAGACGGAGGTGGGACACGACATAATGAGTTTTGTAAAGTTTTTTCCTAATTGTACTATAAATTTAACGAAAGTAAATAATGAAAATAAAATTTTAACTATGGTAATAATTCTTTTTGTGCTATATGAATAAAAACAAGGGAAAATTACATATAAATGGAGTCAAAGTTTCATATTTACTTAGAGACTGAGTCAAAGTTCCATATTTCTCTAAAATGGATTGCTGAGGTGGCACATGGTTTTTTACTGTTTAAAAAATTGTGATGCCTAAAATGCCCTTCCCTAATAAAAAAGTAGTACCTTCAGTTCAAAAAAGTAGTACCTTCGGAGAAAAAATAGTACCTTCGCGAGTGTTTAAAAAACATGGAACCTGGACGCCAAAAAGTAGTACCTTCAGTTCAAAAAAGTAGTACCTTCGAAGAAAAAGTAGTACCTTCGCGGAAGGGTATTTTAGGCATCACAATTTCTAAACAGTAAAAAACCATGTGCCACCTCAGCAATCCATTTTAGAGAAATATGGAATTTTGACTCAGCCTCTAAGTAAATATGGAACTTTAACTCCATTTATATGTAATTTTCCCTAAAAACAAGATCTAACTTTTTAAATAGAACTTGAGACTTAATATTATTATCCCAACATCAATATAATACATGAAAGATTTCAAATAATAATAATATTTCGTATAAAAGAATATTTAGTGATTGGAATATAAAAAACTAGAACTTGTTTAATATGTAACTAATATTATTGAATATAATATATATATATATAAAGATAAAATTATAATTTATTATTATAAATAAGATGAGAACTGTATAATCTTTTCTCGTTCTTACAAGTTTTTAATCCTACCTACACCAAGACCATTTTAATTACCACCCTACCAACCATTTAATTACACCGAAATTATTTATTTATTTTATGCGACATGGAAAAGATGTACCATGTCATATAGTGGTTGGACTTTCCTCAATAAGTTAAATAGTATGGAAAAAATGTTTGTGGTCCTTAAAGAGTTGTTGGTCTTCAATCGGTGTGTCCTTGCGTTGATGTGTTCCGACTTTACCAATACGTCTACGTCCTACAATATTAGAGACCTTGTTACCATTATACTCCGAATGCGTGGCATACAAGGGTTTAAGGCCCACCTGCCCATATTCATGGAGATCATCACCCATATTAGTGTAATTGTGTGGTGGCGTTGCTCGTTATAAAAGGCCACACCTTTAGAGCAATAGACTTTTCAAATTTATTATATTAGTATTTTTTAATAGTTACTCTAATATTTTTTATAATCACGTCAATATTTTATAGTTTTCAAATTTTAGTTATCGGGTATACTTCAATGGTACATTTTCGCTTTTCAAAAATATTAATATTTTAATATTTTTTAAATTATTAACAAAATTAATTTTTTAACTTTTTCGTAACGACTATATCATACAAAAAATTTAAACAATATAATATTTATTATTAAAAATAATACTATACAACATGAATTTAAACAATACAATAAAAATAAAAAAAACAATACAATACGACATGAATTTAAAAATAATAATAATAATACAATACCATTATTAAAATCAAGTAGGAAAAACATAACAACTAGGAAAAATAGAACAATCATATGGAATGCTTAAGATAATCCTATGGAAAGCTTGAGTTATCGCGTGAGTGTATAGATGTTAATATTTCATTTTGGCGTTCAATTAGCCATACCTTCCCGACTTGTGTTGGCATCGATTCTGGATCTTTTTGCATGATTAACATCTCTTCAGCAGTTTGTATGTTTTCAATCTCTCTTAGTTTGCTTTGAAGTTCGAGTTGTCTGATCTTTTCTTTATCTGCTTTGCGCGCCTCTCGTGCTATTTGAGCGGTTTCATGACTTTTAGATTTAGATTGATCAAAGGCTATTACATGATCAAATTTGCTAATAAAATCATTTTGAATTTGATTAGAAGATGGGTTGGATATGAGGTGAATAATAGTAGGGGTTGATATATTTATAAAGGAAAAATGAAAGGTTTTTTTTTTTTTTAAAATAAAAATAAAAATATATATATATAATTATTTTAAAAAATTCAAAAAATAGGCTTTTGTGCCAATATAGTTGTTAAGGCACTGTTTGGGTCAGCCAAACAGTGCTTAAAACGGCTACATGTAATATTTTAAAAAGTAATTTTTTTATAAAAAAAAAAAAAAAAAAGGCACTTTTCTCTATTTTTTTAAACATTTTTTGCCCAAAAAAGTCTTTAAAGTACTATTTGTGTCAGGCAAACAGTGACTTAATGGCTCTTTAGTTCAATTATTTTGAGGAAAAAGTTAAAATTTATTTATTTTATTTTTTTCTCAAGGCAAACATACCCTTCGAAATAGTATTCTGAACTAAAACACAGTTATAGACCAG